TACTGGGAGAATAGTTGACTAATATTAACAATCTAATCTCTCTCTCTTTCTCTCTCTCTCTCTCTCTCTCTCTCTCTCTCTATATATATATATATATATATATATATATATATATATATATATATATATATATTACATGAAATAAACTAAATGCAATCAATTTACACAAAAAATACATGAATTATTCACACAAAACTAATGCAAAAGGTTAATGATTTAAATGGCGAGACATCCATCATCGCAAACAATTCAAATAGTACACAAAAACCTCCAGATCCGTTATGAATGAATTGATCCTTATTACTAAGAGAAAAAAAAAACAAGAACAACATAATAATGGACTCTCCCGTCGGTTTCGATGTATGAAGATCTGACAGCTTATTGATTCATTATTATATATATATTGGTTTCACAACCACCGTATTATCGTCTGTTTTAACGTTCTATTTATCTGAAAATAGTTTAAATTAAACCTCGTATCACTAGTTAACAGAAAGGTAAAACAAACCAAATTTAGATAAATCCTTACAAATAACACACAAATCACATATAAAAAAATGTATAAACGACTACAAGAAGTATTATACATGAAATCAAACAACTTTCCCATAATAAATTGATATCAAATTTAGAAACGAACATAGTGAATATTCATACATAATAAATTTAAGTACTATCTCCAGTAGTAAACTAAAGGCACGTCATAATAAACATTTTCAATAATTCCAGTGTTAGTTCATATATTGATTGAATTCAGTTTTCAGAGCAGCATAATACTGAACCACATTCAGTCTTGTAAACTTCACAAGGACATCGTCACCTGCTCCTGCACTTGTAGGCTCTCCAGAACCCAGTCTGTTTCTGGCATGATCAACATCAAACGGATCCACTCTTCATCTGCTATGACAAACAACGAAACGGCATCATCACCACTAATAGTCTCACTAGCAAAGTTTTATATAGGATCTCCAGCCAATTGCATTTCGCTTTAAGAAGATGTTCTTCTCTACTTTCCGACTTATTTCAAAGTGCCAGTGAGGATATTGTTCTATCCGGAATTCGCCGGACATTTCTTTTCTTTGGCCTAGGTTTTATGACATGGACAGCTACCATCTGGTGTGAAAGGAACTGCATCACATGGGCCGGGTTGAATTACATCATTCGAGATCAACTGACATATTCCAAATAGTGGCATAATCCACAGAATGATATATTACACATAGTGGGATATTCCACATTCCCTAATCTAACACTAGCTAGACTGTCATTACTACAACATCGTTGCATATTACTTCCATGTTGCACTTCCATATAGAAGACATAGATTAACAATTGTAATAAACCATAACCCAGTGTATAAAAGCGTTGGTTAGATCCAATGATTTGACACAAAGAGTCGTGAGTTAAATACCTGGCTAGTGCAGTGGTGAACGAAAAACTGAAGAGTTGATTTAAAGGGAGATAACTGAGACATCCGGAAGTTGAATATTATCTTGCAGCGAAAGATCCATCAAGTTCTAAGAGACGATCTGTAACATCAGAAGCGGCTGGAAGACATCGTCAGTGAGGATATTCCAATCAAGAAAATAAATGCCGGTTCTGCTAAAACCTGAATATATGTAGGTTATCGTTATGGCTCGAAGAGAATATTTCGCTAATACGCCCCAAATTTCAAGCATTATGATCGTTTTCCACTTTTCTATTATTGATGCGCCAGTGGCCGAGTTATAAAAGCTTTCAAAAGGGCCTTAAATCTGCCTCATCAAGTTATTGCATTTGGTGTAAACAGTGAAGGTGTAACGAAGAAACTACAGAAGATTTTTTTCGGATATAAATAATAAACCCTACACTATGAATATGATAAACAGTTAATAGCATAATTCTTGTAGACGGTAATTTACATGTGTCTCAAAACGCCTCATTAAATTAGGATTAAATAGAAAGAACCTTGATAGTTTCACAGTTTTCCCATTTTAATTTTCTGATGAATCATATTTTTTAAGTTCATGCATCAG